GTAGAGAGGTCGGACATGAAATTTTTAACTAAAACTACGAATTTTGATGGTTATTTCGTCACATTTCCAAGTTCAAGGGGTGCTTCTGGAAGGAAATTTAACGATGAAACCAATGAAAGCACTGTCAGAACCTTAAAGTTTTGTATAAACGGAGTTATAAGCGTTTAAAGTTCCCAAATTTTGTCCGACCTTTCCTATTGACTCGACCCACCGTGCGGCGGCGGCATCTCGGCTACCTTCATCCGGCTCTCCCCGGTCTCCCTGCCCCAGCGGGGGGCAACGAGGTTCACATTCTCGCCAGAGACGTAGGTTAGGGATTTCAACCGGTTCAAATCTCCACCTGGGCTTCATCCCAGGAACCGGGTAAAGGATTTCACCACTCTCAAATCTACATCTTTCTCACAGTCTCAAATATAAATTTCAAGAAAAGGCGAGGTACCGAGGACAAAGGTCCAGAATAGAGGTCACCGAGTACGCATCCGAAGTCATGGAAACCCGTGAATATTGGCCGAACAGTAATTGGCGACGAATCAACGTGCTCTCAAATCGAGACATTGCTTACCTATGCAAAGTACGGGCGAAAATGTACTGAAGACGCTGGCCCAACAGTGAAATTTAGTGGCGCAAAACGTCCACCGGTGGAAGCTGGAGGGTACGTGTTACTGCGCTGCCCTTAAATTTCACCCCTTAACAGGGCCGGATTCGCATACTTGCCGCCCATGGGCCGCCTATATTTTGCCGCCCCCTTCTCATTCGTTTTGAAACTCGATAAAAACTATCAAATGAACGTGCCAGCGGGGGAGGGGTGTTTTAGACGCATTTACTCGTGTTAAACACATTTTTTGGGAAAGCTCTGTCAACACTACTAGCAAAAGTTCACGAAACTTTGCGCGAAAGTTAAGTTCCGTAAACCTATCTCTGTGTGGACAAGGCCTTCCATTCATAAGAAATGAACGAAAAAATTATGAAAGAAAAAACATAAATGTGGTTCAATGATTTTAACTTCCGCCGCCGCGCCGCGCAGACCGCACTGTGTTGAACACAATGCGTGAAGTATTCACGCAGTCTTGTAGGCGCTATGCGTTTCACGCTGACCGCACTGTGTTTGGCGAAATGCGTGAAGTATTCATGCGTTCTTGTAGGCGCTATCCGTTTCATCACGCTGACCGTAATTACCACACTGTGTTTGATGCAATGCGTGAAGTATTCGTGCTGTCTTGCAGGCGCTAATATGTGTTACATGCCGAATTGCCGATCGCCGCGCCGAGGGCTTCTCCTTTTCATCTCAAGTCCTCGTTATCATTTCTCTTTAAGTTGCACCGTTCCAGGCCAAATTGCACGTTTGATCTCTCTCTTAACTCGACTTATTGAAGGCGCTGTCTCTTCTATCACTAAGAGACGACAAAATCAAAAATTACTATACTCTCAGGAAATGAGAGATTTTGTCGCCTTTTCTCGTTTGTAATTTTGTTCTTATAAATCCGATTTTTTTTTTATTACCTACATTTTAAAAAATTGCAAATTTTTGCCGCCCCTTAGATCTGCCGCCATGGGCCACGGCCCATGTGGCCACCCCCGTAATCCGGCCCTGCCCCTTAAAAACGTATCCTTTTGACATCGCATAAGAATGGTAATGGGAACGAATAAATGTACGATTTTAAAGAAAAATGATCGATTGATGCTACGTTATTCCACTTTTTTGACGCAGATAGCAGATCGAAACCACTTCAGAAACTTGCTGCAACCCTCGGATCGCCAGATTGGGTGTTTTCCGCACCACGAAAAAGAGGTAAGTAGGGGTTGTTCGCTATTGCCAATTAATTGTGGTAGTACCCCCCCCCCCCCAANAATAAATTAGGTTACTAACCCAAATATTGAGTACTACCACAATCAATTGGAAAACCCCACCTTCTCGGATGAATCAGAGTCGTGCTACAATAAATTATAGGGGATAACCCCTGACACTTTTTTCCCAGTGACCCCTGCTTGATTCCAAGGATCCCTCCCTAGAGCCTATCAAGTGTGACCAGGGTGTCTACTAAAACAAGCTGGTCAAAAATCAGTACCTTTACAGTGCTTTTGTAGTACATGCCTAAGAAATTCAGTACCTCCTCCACAGGAAAATTCAGTACTTTTTCAGTGCCTACTTCCAATTGACGAAAATCGAAAAATTCCAAAAATTTAATTTCTCGCCAAAGTTGCGACAAAAATGACGAAAAATGAAACAAAAATTCCGGACCTCCTGCGGAATTTCTGCATTTTTCCAGTACTTTCAGACCGCCCTTAAAAAATCAGTACTATTTCCGGACTTGTTGACACCCTGGTGACCCATCGAGACACGTAAATGGAAGAATTTTACGGAATCTCATCGGGAAAAAGCGATAATGGAGGCAAGATCGGGCTCGGGTTTATTTTTAACGCGAGCCAAGATCGTGCGTAGCGGCACTTGGCGCTTCCTGTTTGCAGCCGCATTGCACACGGGATCAAGTGGTCTCGTCGGGGTTATTTATAAGCCACTTCCGCCACGGTCGCCGCCGACAGAGACGGAGGCTCCTCCAGCAGGAAATCCGAGGGACACCGAAGCGTATTTCGGGAGAAATTCGATCAACCGACCCACGGCCCACGCGGCTAAATAAGCCCAAGTCTTTCACCCTCCGCTCCGATCCGATCGAGTCCACAAAAATAATCCACCCCGGGCGGATGTCAGACCGCAAATTGACGAGAGGTTGATGAAAAAAATACACTCCAAAGGAGCCTGACTAGGTGGGCGCTAAGCGTTTCGGATGCTGCGGGGAGTAAAGCGCTTGGAGTTGAGACATGTCAAGCGGATTTCAGCCCATCCGCCGACCAAGCTCCGATTTTAACGCTGGCTCTGTAAATTCAGAAAGAAGCTACCTCATGTGAAGGGCGGGATTATGGAGGGGTGCAAATAGTTCTTGAGTGCCACTTCCATTTTCAAAGCGATTTTCCTCCAAAATATAAAGAAAATGCCTGTTTTATAGCTCTGTGCTAGCAGGGTGTTTACTAAAACAGGGTGGTCAAAAATAAGTACTTTTACAGTATATTTTCAGCACATTCTCAAGAAATTCAGTACCTCCTCCAACAGAGAAATTCTGTACTTTTTCAGTACCTCCGTTTGACGAAATTCGAAAAAGTTTGAAATGGCGACAAAAATGACAAAAAATTAAAACAATTCCGGACCTTTTTGCGGAATTTCCGCACTTTTTCAGTACTTCCGGACCGCCCTTAAAAAATAAGTACTATTTCCGGACTTGTAGACACCCTGGGAGCCTCATTCCCTATTTCCTTATTTTCCAAAACTGCTCGTTTTGTTGAGCATCGTCGGGTTTTGGGAGAAATACAAGAGGGGAAAACCGAGCTTGGTTCGAAAACAGAGAGTTGCGTCATTCGTCGAATACTTTTTCTGGCGATATCTTGAACATAAAATGTGATGTAATAACTCATGTTCTCGCTGATAAGATGTGATCAGCACACGTGGAAATAAAAACACGTGTGACGGATACATTTCAATACAATTCTACTGTACCCTTTCTAAGCTACCGCGTGTTTTCGGAAAAGCGTGAAAAAACAGGGCACGGGGCTTTTAGGCGAAGTTCTCTGAATCTCTCCGGGAAAAGTTCCATTCATTTTCAGTGACGAAAAAGAAGTAAAGCGATTGATGCGAAGTTTTCAAACATCACTCGATTAGGACATCACGGCGATGGCATTCTTACGGATACATAACAAAAAACAGCTAAAAGTATGTGTCAACAGGATACCGCATTTTTTTCATTTCTTTCTCAGAGGATTCAATTTTTCCATACGAACTACAAAACATAAAAAATAATCATTGGAAGTACGTCATATCAGCAGCTTAGACTTAGAGCAAGAGAGTCGTAACCGAGATGTTCTGCAAAATCGGTTAAATTGCATTTAAGATGTCCATAGAATAGGCTTTTGACCTGAGAAAAATTCGGTACCTGGTGATAATTATCGCAAGACAAGAAAGGCAGATTTTTAATTTTAAGGGTTTCATTAAAAATTGTCCTCCCTCCCACACTTTTAAGATTCTTTCCAAATTTTCAAGCGCAATCCCGAGCGCGAAAAACTGCGTATGGTTTGGGTCAACCTTTAACCACCCTCGAAGAACCAAAAGATCGTTCATCATCAGAACGATCATTTCGATTATCATTTTCGATTGGGATCTCCTTGAAAAGGGGAGCTTCGCAACCGATGTCGGCCTGACGTCAGGCTTGTCTTGAACTCCCCACAGCCCCCTCCCCCTCCATCGTAATGTGTGAAACATGCAGGGTGTCTACTAAAACAGGCTGGTCAAAAATCAGTACTTTTACAGTACTTTTTAGTTCATTCCCGAGAAATTAAGTACCTCCTCAACGGAAAGACTCAGTACTTTTTCAGTGCCTCCGCACGGAGAAAAGAACCTCGTGCGTAGGACCTGAAGTTTAGGTCATATGGATCTCCGAAGTTTTCAGATGGAGCATCTGAACACTTTAGGTCTAGCTGTCGAGGTTCGGATCCCACATCTGAAACTTCAGTTCTTACATCTGAAGTACTTCAGATGTGAGAACCGAAGTTTTTCGGATGTGAAAACCGAAGTACTGCAGATGTAAGAACTGACGTTTCAGATGTGTGATCACCTAAAGTGTTCAGATGCTCAATCTGAAAACTTCAGAGATCCATATGACCTAAACTTCGGGTCCCACGCACGAAGTTTTTTTCTCCGTACATTTAACGAAATTCGAAAAATTTCAAAAATTTGAATTTCTCTCCTAAATTGCGACAAAAATGAAAAATTCCGGACCTCCTGACGGAATTTCCGTTCTTTCTCAGTACTTTCGAACCGCCCTGAAAAAATCAGTACTATTTCAAGACTTTCCGGAGCTGTTGACACCCTGGATATCCGTTAGCACCCTAGGTGCCTGGCGTGACTAAGAGTGACGTTGACTTAATTTGATAAGAGGTGCTGGAGGAAGACTCACCTTGCAGACAAACGACTGCTGGGTCCGGATGTTATAGCACGTATGAAGGGAGCTGCCGACTCTTTGCTCGAGGATCATGTACTTCTCGCCGACGACGTAGGGCTGGGGCGTGGGGCTGGCCGCCGGGTCCGAGCAGACGGAGGAGGGGCGCGGGCCGAGGGCGCACTTGTGCTGGGCGTCGCAGGCCTTGGCGCAGTCCTCGGCGTCGCGGTCGCGGTCGTCGCAAGGGGCCACCGCCGACGCCGCCATCGACGCCACCGGCTCCCCCCCTCCCACCGCCGAGCCGCCTTCCTTCTCCCAGTCCGCCACCGTCTGCTGGATGTCCTGCACGAGCGTCAGCCACTTGACGCTCCCCCCTTGCCCGCCCGATTCCGACACTTCCATTGCACTTATTCCAACCACTAACACACACTAACACATCCGCACACGAAGCCGCCGGAGACCTGAAACACAAAAAATAAACCAAATTACTTTCACGAGTCTTGTCGTTAATCAACAGTAGAGTACCTATATTGAGAGAGTATGGCCATAGGGGATACCACTTCTGATTAAGCCATCTTAGGCTGAATGGAGCCCTTAGGACCCAAAAATGGCGGACGCCATAAATTAAGGTAATGCAAAATGACTCAAAATGTAGTTTTCTTTGCTTATCGTAACGAGAAATTTACTTAAATGCACTATTGCGACATCTTTACATATTTGTAAGGCTAATCGTGTGCAGTATTTGAGAAAAATTATCTTAGATGTAGTAAGGTTGGCAGCAAGTGCGGTTGGTGATAACCGTCAAAAGTTGGCAATGACCCCCCTCCCATCCTAAAAAACCAAAACAAAGCACCGCCATTTTTGGGTCCTAAGCCTCTCCATGGGGCCCAGTGGCCATACTCTCTCAATATAGGTACTCTAATTAACAGTAGAGTACCTGTATAGCGAGAGTATGGACAGATCGCTTCATGGAAATCTTAGGGCCCAAAAGTGCAGCCACCCTTCTAACCAACTTTTAACGCACAAATTTTCACTGCCAGTCTGCAGATTCCAATTCTAACCAAGATGGCTAAGAATGTACATGAATGAGCGTTCTTCCGCAAAAATGAGTAAATTTACGCAAAAACTAAGTCAAATACGTGCTTTAGGAACGATGGTTCGTAACAATTGTATTAATAAATCGCTCTGGATAATTGAAATTCATAGGTTGGCTGCATTTTTGGGCCCTAACTTTATTCGCGGAGGCATCGGTGAAGGCCTGATGGATTTTCGGAGTTTCACATCTGTCTATACTCTCGCTATACAGGTACTCTAATCAACAGCGGGGCCACTTTTGAAATTGATAGACAAAGCTATAGACAAAGAAGGCGAAAGGTATATCGACGGTGTAGGTCAGCAATCACATAACTCGTTTGCGGTGTCTGAAAATCTCCGCCTCTATGTCATTTTTTTTAAAGGAGAAAAAATTGACATATTTCTTGAAGTTTTTGCGGAATTTTCAAAACTAACCCGTTGAGATTCAGATTACAAAAAGAAACAACAAGGAGCCTAAAAAATAAAATAAAAAATAAGAATGCTGGAATAAAAATCATGTTCGGAGATCGACATCCATGTGATTGCCTCAGAGTCTCGAGCTAGCGTTACGATAGATTCATAGAACATGGCCTACTCATCCGCGGTGGTAAGCTGATGACAGACTTATTTGAAAAGTGAAAGAAGATGTTACAAGAAATGTTTACACGCTGTGGCGAATGGCTATTGTGCTTTTCAAAAGATCTCACCCATGACGCATGGCAATGATGCCGACGCGAGAACCGTGACCAAGTCAAAAACAAAAGGGAGGCAGCAAGAGGGAATCATTGGCATTGATTTTTTTTCCATCTTCCTACGGATAAAGAGGGATTTTTAACTACGAGAATTTTGTTGTACACACCACACTGGTTTTTTATTCACTGTTGCACCTTAACGTGTGTGAAGATTTCCTGAGGAAATTAATGCCTTCAGGAAACCTTGATATTTATCAAGAGAGGGTGAGTCGAAATGACAGACTGAAAGCCACACCCTCAGGAGAACGTTCAAATTCAAAGTGCATGGGTACAAAATTTCATGAAAGCTCTGCCTGTCGTTCAGCGATTGCAGTGGCGTGGCGTGCTTTGCGATGTATCGAATGATCTGCCTTTGAACCTATGGAATAGGATCGATAAATAGGGTGTTCGCAGCGAACACCTTAATAATCGATTCTTTACCATGGGTTTAACTGACATAGCAATCGATGTATCACAATTCACGCCACGCCACTGAGCGATTGATAATTTCAGAGACAGCACGGACTTTTACATCGAGCAATGTACTTAGGAGGCAAAAGAAACATTTCACCGATCAAAATCGTTTCCTGCCTGCTGTTTCAGATCTGACGAACGATCCCCTTAAACTAAGGAGTCCTTTCAGTGGATCAAATTGTCAAAAATTTCCCAAATGCAATCCGTTTGTAATTTTTTTTTTTCAAAAAAAAAGGAAGAAAAAGCCGAAAGTCTCAAAAGTCGATACCTAGTTTTAACGCTTCGCTCATACAACGCGTATCTCGAAAGTTACGGGGTAAAAGCATCGGGAAAGGGAATAGCTGGAGAGGCGTAGAGTCCCTTTATACTGATGAGAGTCAAGACAACACCCCTTCATGGAGTCACAAACGGAAATAAAGATTACACAAATTGAACGTTTTTCGTAATCTTTGATCGACCCACTCTCAAATTCCTTTCTCCATTCCTTCTCTCATTCCGTTTGATCCTTATCAAACCCGTAATTCCTCGGTCCATCCCAGATTATAATCTTGGCAATCGGTAAAAATATGTAATCTTTATTCCCATTTGGGACACCTTGGAGGCCTAAAATACAGGAACCAATCAGAAATGGATTCACATTGTCTTGACTCAGTATAAAGGGAGTCTAGAGAGGCGACTGAAGCGCTGAACTTACTTCAAATCAAAATCGTCCGAGCCAAGATGAGAATGCGCGCTACGGCGACGGACGCGGAAGACACAATGAAGCAGACCAGAGAGAGGACCAACACCCCGGAAAATTCAGAAACTCTTCCTTATTCCCAAAATCGATCCGACGGAACCGATCCAATGATTCGAGCCAAAGATAAACGTCGCACTATCGATGGTCAGACAAATCAGGCAGATAATAGTTCAAACGATAGGCGCGCGATACGATTGCGGGAAGAAAAAAGGAATAGAAAATCAAGAGCGATTCACTTTTTGTGAGTCGAACGATTATCTAACATGAGACCATGTCCGAGGGAAACTCCCAACAGCGGAGTGTTCACTACGCGGCTTTGTCTATCGAAGATATCACACGGTCGCGGTTGGAGAGGAGATATAAGACTGGTGGTTTTGATACCGTGTCGACAATGCGATGATGCTCGAGCGGCTGGTCAGGCTTCGTGCACGTAAGCGCGCTGATAATGGCCACCGCACCGAGTGATAACTTCGGAATTCGGGAAGTCGCAGGTCACTTGCTTCCGCTTCCAATTTTGTAACTGAACAATGATTCGGGTGAGTAAATGGAGAGGGAAAATTTCGAACGCGCATGGTCAGTATTTTGCGGAAAGCACCGATACAGATAGGACATGAGTCAAAAATGAGAAATTGCAAAATGGCGTTGCCCAATATTTGCTAATATTTTCCCATTTCATTCTATGATTCAGATGTTTTCGTTTGGATGAATCAGAGAATCAGCACCACCAATGTACCAGAATACGCTATTTAAACTTCACGCACAAAAAAAAGGGGGTGGAATTAGTACGAGGGCAGATATTCTTTTCTTTTGAAGACCATAATTATTCTTAACTATTCGCATGGTGACATTGATTATCACATAAGGTAGGTAACAAGGTAGTTTTATCCTTTGAACAAGCTCTCACAGGCTGGCAGTTTAACTTGGGACAGTGGCCATTGCTGGATTTACCTACTTGCCGCCAATGGGCCGCCTGTATTTTGCCGCCATCTTCTCATTCATTTTGAAACATCAATAAAAACCATAAAGTGAACATGCCGGAGGGAGAAGGGTGCATAAGATGCGTTCACTCGTGTTGGACACATTTTTTGCGTGAGCCCTGTCAACACTACAAGCAAAAGTTCACGGAACTTCGCGCGAAAGTTCAGTTCCGTAAACCTATCTCTGTGGGGACAAGGTCTTTCATTTGTAAGAAATGAACTAAAAAATTAGGAAAGAACAAACTTAAATGTGGTTTAATAATTTTAACTTCCGCCGCCGTGCCGCGCTGACCACACTGTGTTTGGCGCAATGCGTGAAGTATTCATGTAGTCTTGTAGGCACTGTGCGTTTCACGCCGCGCCGACCGCTGTTGACCGTGCTGTGTTTGACGCAATGCGTGAAGTATTCATGCAGTCTCGTAGGCGCTAATATGTGTTACATGCCGACCGCCGCGTCGAGGGCTTCTCCTTTTCATCTCAAGTCCTCGTCATCGTTTCTCTTTGCGCCGCGCCGGGCAAAATTACGTTTTTGGTTTCTCTCTTAACTCAACTAATTAAAGGTGCGCAGTCTTTTGTATCACCGAAATATGACAGAAATAGAAATTAATGAACTCTCAGGAAATGAGACATTTTGTCACCTTTTCTTATTTGTAATTTTTTTCTGCATCCGATTTTTTTGTACATGCATTTAAAAAAATTGCAAAATTTGCCGCCCCCTAATTTTGCCGCTATGGGCCGCGGCCCATGTGGCCACCCCCTTAATCCGGCCCTGACAGTGGCGATCCTTTCAAATTGGCAACACTGTTTTTTTCATTTAAATGTATGCATGTTAAACAATCGATTCTCGTGGAGCCAGCCTGTCTCACCCAGAATCGACATATTCAATGGATGTAAATGGAGAATAAACAGTGTTGCCAATTTGCAAGAATCGCCACTGGGTTTAACCTTGGAACACCCTGTATCATTGGCAAAGAGCCTCCGTTTACAGAATCGACTGAATGGATTTCGCATGAGCGTTACGAAGAGCGAAGCGGCGAGTGTACCTCGAAACTGATCTCGTAAGTGCGGACGCCCCGGCCCGGAGCGCGACATGCTTGGAACTTATGATGCCGGTGAGGGATGGACGAAACAATAGTTAGCCAACGGCCAATTATTGCTGGATACAGACGGCAGAGCTCGGGCCCGGTGAACACATTTTTTTACGCAACTCGCCCGGGATTGCCGCGGGTGACTTGGCAATCGCTGGGTATTGATCTCGCACCGATTGGGCGCCGACGCAATTCCAGATCTGCCTCCTGTCCAAACCGCGACGCAACGTCGCGTCCGTCGTTCGAATTCACCATTCCGCCGACGTTTTCGCACTATATCATTAGCGAAGTCGAGCCACTACTAACAGACGCATGAAGACGACTCCCTCTCGTTTCCAACAACGTAAGGATTTACTCGGGGCCCGAATTTCGTTGGCAGGTTCGTTCGTTACGGTCGGCCACAAGTTCGATGATTTCTGTCGGCAAACCCCCAACTCAAAGGAAAAGGCCGGCCCCGAGTCAAAATACCAAGAGGCTCGTCCCCTGGTCACAATTATTAGAGGTACAGTGGCGTGGCGTGCTTTGCGATATATCGATTGATCTGCCATTTAAACCTATGGAAAAGGATCGATAAACAGGGCGTTCGCAACGATCGCCTTAATAATCGATTCTTTGCCATAGCTTCAAATGGAGAAATATCGATAATCGATCATTCACGCCACACCACGGGTTATGAACGGACCCCTCCTCCCTTCCCAGGTTACGCACCTCCAATGTAATCTTCGGTACGCGTCGAGCAACACTTGACAGACGCCCCCTGCCCCCCCCCCCCCCCNTTTTTTTTTTTTTTTTTTTTTTTTTTTTTTTTTTTTTTTTTTTTTTTTTTTTTTTTTTTTAACTAGCCCTCAAGGGCTAATCCCATCTGCTCATGAACCAGTTTGAGCCAATCCCTACCAGTTTTTCAGTATTTCCCCTACCAGTCCCTATAGACCAAACTCCTTCCACCTATAACATCTCGGTAGGAGCTCACCCTCCCCCCAGTTATCTCTCTGAAATTTCATTAATTCATTCCATTCATTAATTCATTCATTCCATTGATTCATTCCGTTGTGGCAGGTGTATGACTATCTGTGACTGTGAGAATAGATATTAATGGTTCAGTGGTGGGGAGGATGATTCAGTACTCCATTCCCCTAGGAAAATTTGAAAAGAAGATCATATTTGGCTCAAGATAAAGGATTCACATGTGCCTGTTGTCATCTGCGTTTGGCACTTGCACTCCTCAAGTGACAGCAGAGAATGAAACATAGAAACACAGACGGACAACCAATCATATGTTGCTACTATTGTGAAAAGTGCTGTTTTAAGCTGATTTATTGTATTTATGTTGACTCTTTTCATGGTTCTTTTCACTTATTCTTTAAAAAAAAAGGGCAGTCAATGACAATACCACACAGTCATTGGCAAGAAGGATGAAGATCAATGACAGTTAGATTCTTAAATTTTCTCTGACACATTACCGATGTGTGCAAGAGGTTTTTTGCACAGTCAGTTGCGGATCTCATTCATTGTTTTGTCTTATACATTCAAAAACATTCCTTGAAACTATCGCTGGAGGCCTCTCTCTGCTTCTGCAATTGTAAAAGGCATTCACAAGGAAAATTGACTGCCTCTCTGCTACCCTAGATAATGGTGCTTTCAAATCATCCTGCAGTTCAGCTAGAGTCCACACCAAATAGCTTTCCGCATTCATGAGGTGCGACAGCGGACCAGCTATCCTTTGTCTATGATTGAAAGTAGACACAATAATCAAGATAACAAATCCTCAGTTCAATCTTTTAAGTGCCTTAACTAACTAGGCATACATGGACTGGCATATAGACCATCGATGCCAATTTAAGCATTTATATCGCTAAACGGAGCAAGCTTTGGTCATCGATGACCCTACGTCAATGTCCCGTTGGTTGCATGTAACAACAGCTGAGCTGATGTTATGCTGGGTGGATCGTAAGCCACTTCACTTCATGGCAGTTTCAGGTTTGGAGGATATGGTACCTGCTAAGAGCTTCTCCAGAAGGAGGACACCAAACAAATGGTAAGAACAAGTTTAACCTCCAACATTAGAAGGAGCCATTCACATCCCAGATCATACTGACTAAACCGAAAGAGAGGTCCCATGCCAGGGGCCTCTCACAATTTCCTACCAAACTGAACTTATTGACTCCAGTCGTTTTCGGAAGAGAACAACCCATACAAAGGGATAGGCGGTTTCAGCAATAGGGAGCACGATGTGAACTGCAAAAAGTCAATACCTACTTAGAGGCCTCCATTCATAAAAGGACCACCAAACACCGTTCTATATGGTAAGCATACGTCTGAATTCGGCTCAATATGCCGTCGGAAGCTAACTTATAAGTAAGTAGTCGTAAATGTAATGGCAGATATAAGTACCTTTTAGTTGAGGATCTTGAGTGGATATCGTCCAAGCTTTGGCCAGTTTTTGGACGTTGAGCGAAGTAATCCAACGCCTTGGACGATGAAAAGAACACAAGCACAATCAAACGACCGCGAACAACGAAACAAAAGAATTGAGTTAAATAAAAACAAATATTGATAACAGATAATAAAGCACTGAATGTAAGGATGAAAGGCCAAAAATTGGTCCGGCGTCCACTCAAAAATCACTCCGCGCGCACGGCAACACACTACAGGGACATCGTCGCGGTCGAAACTCCCGTGAGTTCAAAACTAAACTGAACTCAAGCAGAAGCACGCAATCGATTCGGGCAAACGACGGTTACGGAGTTCGGTTACAAGGCTCGCTCAGAGCGCTACTAACGGCTGCGCTACACAACTATTGAACGGCGCTGTTGCCGCGGCTACAATAAAAAACGTTACTTATTTTGGGGGTAGTGATAAGAGGGGAGAGGATTACTGCAGTGCTAAGGAAAAACGCCGTATGAACCTTCAGGCGTTTGCGAAATTTCCGCTTATAAAACATAAAAGTTCCTGGTAAACTTAAGAATATTTTTCCTCTAATTTTTCAGATATTGTTGTTTGCAATTTCACCCCAAGTTCCTGAAAATTTCAAAGAAAAATATTCATAGCTTTCCTAAAAAATAAAAATTTTATTGAAGGAAATTGGGCAACCCTCGAATGTTCATACGGCGTTCTTCCTTAGCACGGCAGATTAGCAGTAATCATGAAATATCTCCTATTCACCCTAGAGAGTACGATTTTCAATTGTCATTGTGAATTTGAAACATTGCATTTTTCATTTTATTTTATGAGATCCATTTTCATGACATTTTGTTTTTATAAAACGATTTTTTATGGCATTTTCTTTTTTTCGGAATTTTTTCATGGTATTTTATTTATTTTTAAAATATATCCTAATGAGAATTACATGAGATTTTTAAATGGATGGTTTTACAAAATGTAAGAACTCCCAAAATTTATCATTTAAGAGAAAGTATAAAAAGAGGAGGCGGGCAGGCAAGGGGAGGGGGTTGAACATTCTGCCAGTTCATCAGCTAAATCCGATTTGAGACTAGATTTGGTAATCTTCACCCGTTCTCGAACTACAAACTGCAACCCTGGGAGTGTCGTTCTAATTTTCTAAATCTTGAGTTGTGTGGAATTAGACCGCCGTAAATAACATGCACTCGCTAGAGGCAGGGGGGTCTGTGTTCGTGTTACGGGTGTGTTTCGAGAGGGAGGGGGGTGTGCAAGGCTGCGATACATAACGCTAGGATGAGCGAGTTTCGGAAACATGTGAAAAATCGAAGAGAGGGGTCGATTGCTTATGCGATGTTTCAAAATGTCCATCGCCATTTTATTTTTTTACGTGAAATTGTTGGTATAATCTGTTTCAAAATTTTACAGAATTTTATCGGCAGCACGGAGAAAATTCAGTGAAATTTTTGGACAGCATCGTTGAACAATTTCTCTGTGAGAAAATAAAATAGCGGCGCAAATTTTTCACCATCGCACACTTCGGCCGGAAGGTGACTCCATGTCAAGAAAACAGCAAGTGTGCAGGTTTTTCAAAAAAGAAAAAAGGTATGAGTTGGCAACGTCGAATCAGAGATTTTAATCTGAACGGCCCCTCAATGTCTAGCGCCGGTGAAAAGCTCAAGCATACGACGGCAGTAATAAAATAGGTATTAATTGGCTCAATTTGGCAAAGGTGGCGCTGCCCCACGCCCGAACTCCGAACTATTGGTGTAACCGAGTTTGCCAATGAATGAAAATGAATTGCATTGTGATATTTTATTATTAGTCGCCTTTGCCAAACCTAATGATGAAACTTCATCATACCATGTCGGTCAAACCGGGTATTACACTTGGGTTTTTGTCGAAAACTGGCAATCTCCAACCAGTGCAGTCGATACCAAGAGGGTATTCGTCTCGAACATGGGTATTTACAGGTAAATGCTGAGCATTACCTGTGCGACTTGGCAAACATGCTTGCCTTGTAACGTGCGACAACCGTTTTGTGTTTTGAAATGCCTCTTAAATGTCAAGTTGCCCTGACCGTTATTTTTCACTGTTAATAATATTTTTTGTCGGCTTGAGCGATTACGTCACCAATCGGTATTCCTTCAACTTACATACCGACCCCTTTTCAGAAGCTCGCCCTTTTCGACTATTTCAGAACTTCTATTTCTCCTTCATTTTCTCGCGCAGTGAGGACCATGATTAGGTGTTGATCCCGATGTCCATACAATCTAAAATAAAAAGAATCAATTATTATTATTATTATTTTTTTTTCACCAAACCGCGAGATGACCCTGTCCCTCATTTTCAAGGAGATGTATTCTCCTCCTCGTTACAAAATGTCAACAATGAGAATATTCTGATGATATTTCCTAGCAATTGTCTAGCATGGAACCCTCCGACTATTGTAAGATTCTCACTACCTGATAAATTTTAACATATTTCCTTGGAATATTCATAGTAGGTATGAAATCTTTAGAATATTTTAATAAGTAATAGGCAAATGCGCGGAATTTTTAGAAATCTTCCAGGTTTAAATTACCTAAAAAAGGTACCAGAAATTGTGAAAATCCTTGCTAAAAGAGAGCTTCGCACCTTTTATTCTAAATTTTCGCAATATTGGTCTACCGAATGTAAATTTTTCCCAAAATATAGTTTTTGAGCCCCTCTTTTCGAATTCGTATAGAAATTGATTTAAGTGACACGATTTTTGATTCGTCATATTTGAAAGAGTAAAGTATTATCCCAGTCATTTTCTCCGTTAAAAAATTAATTCAAGTAACACGATTTTTAGTTTAAGATTCATATCGTCATCTTCAGTTACCCCCTCCGTTATTTCGTATCCCATCTCGTTATTTTGTTTGTAATGTCGTTTCTCAGATTGAGAAACGACATTACAAACAAAATAACGAGATCAAAACCAACCGAGATGCCGTTTCGATAGATTAACGTGAATAATGCGCGGAACGTAAAACGATGGAAAAATATCCGAAGTTGGGTTCGAACCTAACATGCAACTATTTTAACTCTGAAGGGGGCCGGGTTGCATACGCTCGATTTTGCGGGCGAAATCTGAGATCTGCCGACGGTTTCCGTAATAAAAGCACGGGTGCAATTGGTGTTTCCCAGAAACGTGTATTTTGATAAACTTTTTGGACTCTCGCGTCAGACAGATGACTTGTTACAAACAAAATGACGCTATATTTACAAATTGAGATGCTGAAAAGCGACTCATATATATATAGATGCTTTTCAAGAGGTCAATTCGGCATTCGAATGATGAACTAACATTAAGCGTTTAACTGTGGAGGAATATACTTTTGGTTTGGACACAACATGGAGCTATTTTAACTCCGAGGTGGACCGGGTTACATACATGGAGGAAAACACATATCGCACCCAGTGGCGTGGCGTGAATTGCGATGAATCGATTGTTATGCCATTTAAATCTATGGTAATGAATCGATTATTAAGGTGTTCGCTGCAAACACCCTGTGTATCGATCCTTTTCTATAGGTTTAAAAGGCATAACAATCGATACATCGCAATGCACGCCACGCCACTGATCGCACCTGTACCTTATCGCGACTGGCGAGAGCCGTATATCGCGATCGCGCGCCAGGTTCACGTTTCGCCCGCAAAATCGAGCGTATGCAACCCGGCCCACCGCGGAGTTAAAATAGTTGTATGTTAGGTCAGAACCCAACTTCTTTCTCTCCGCACGGCACGAGGAACAAACTAAAAATTTCCTGCCTTTTTCTCTCGATTGCCTTGATCCTTATGCGTTATTATTATTATTTCACTTGAATTCTAAAAATCGCGAAAAAGGTTTTTTTCCCTCATCTTGAACTTCCTGTCAACAAATGAAGACCGGCCACTTTTCAGGAGATCAAAAACACACTCAATGAACCTAGCTCTCACGAAATCAAAGCTAGGCTGCTACGAAATAGATTTAATGGCTGAGTAGGATAAAAAAGGGCCTGAAAATAATTTCAAAGGCATATCTCTGTTTATAGGGTGGACAAAATTTTCCGTTAAATTCTGAATTTTTTTTCTCTGTATTTAATGTTTCTTCGAAGTTAGGCACTTTTCGAAACAAGCCGTACATATCAAATCCAACGCAAAACAAATGTGTTTATCACGTGAGAGTGGGATGAAAACCGTTATCCGGACCTGAAGACCCGCGCTGCTACCTGAGAGGCCGCGGGAAAATAGTCGGTGGATCGTATTCGGCTACGTATGCGGGGCTGGGGCATTTCGACCCTTGAAGCTGTCCCGTCGTTTCCCACGGTGAAGCTCTTCGTCCCGAGGTGCTGACTTCTGGCTCGTCATATAAGCACCTTACGTACGTCTGGCGGCCTACTTCCTGGCTCACTGAGCAGTGAGCAATCGCCATCACACCTTGAGGTGAATAAGGGTAGTAGGTAATAGTATTCATAGCCTTTTCTTAGCAGCTTTTTCCCTTAGGATGCCACATTCGATTTCCATTCAGATCAAAATGAGGTTTAAGGATCTCCTTAGCAGCATCATATGAAGGACAATTTTAACCTATTTTGAGTTAAATTCAACAGTACAGCTTTAGAAATACACCCTTGCAAGGCCTTGCAATGATTTGCCATTTAAAAAATATAAAAAGGAGAAACAAAATTCATGATTGTTAGGTGTTAAATTTAAGGCATAAGTACAATTTTTGCTATTTCAAGAAAAATGTGTTTGAAGTTTCGAAAGTACATTGAACTGATGAACTCTCATGGCAGAGAGAAAGTTCAAACTGACCTTTTGATGCTTAAAAATTGGAATCTGGGACTTCTGGGAGTGAATTTTTCACAGAATATGCATTGAGACTAGTTTTAATTGAAACCATTGATATCTCAACTTTTTCAAACACTGCATTTATGCGCCTTGCCCTCCAAGCCCCTTAAGTGAAGTACATCAAAATCACTTTTTTCTCCGTTTCCCAGAGGAGAGATCAAAATATAGCACAGAATTTTAAAATTTAAAAAGTAGGGGTCACAAAAATGTATGTATGTATGTATGTATGTATATGTGTTTCAGCCAGCGTGAGAATTTTTCAGTTTTAGAGCTTTGAGCGGCAATTAATTTTTCTTCTCTCTGTCTCACTTGTACCTATCTGCCCATCTCTATTTCCCTCTTCCCCTTCGTCCGTTTCCCTCTCCCATCTTTCTATCTTACGTCTCTCCCTCTCGTCTTAAAGGCTGCCCCCTGCCCCCTCTCCCCGTTACTTTGTGACTGTAAGTAGCCGCTCAAC